GGGCTTATGTTTTACTCCCAGTTTCCCTGCTTTTTGTTTGTAGAATAAGTATTTTCTCTGCTTCGCCTAGTTACGAATATAAGATTATGAGGGGGTAACTGCTAATACATCAGATTCAGGAAAAGAGAAAAATGGTGTGCGAACATATGGATACCTTTTTTTTTTCCCCCGGAACTGGATTTATTGAGTGAATGGCTATTTTAACTCCCTTTCTCCCCATTCCGCGCCCGCCCCCGCCCCTGGATACCTTTTTCTTCTCCATTAATCTCTGCTTTTATGATTCGCTTCAACTTTCTCTGGGTCTAATTTACTGTTTTTCTCCTTTACTTTCTTGAGATGAAAACTGAGCCATCTTTTTAAAGCCTTTCTTTTCTAGGGTGCACATAGAAGCACAGTTTCAGCCACATCCCACAGGATTTGTTACTTAAGGTTTTCATTTTCATCCGGTTACAAATATTTTCTCTTTTTCCATTGGGGTTTCTTCTTTGACACATAGGTTATTTAGCAGTATGTATTTAAATTTTCAAATCTGTGGAGGTTTTTCTAGTGTTTTGTTGTTGTTGCTGTTGGGGTGTGTGTGTGTGTGTGTGTGTGTGTGATTTCTAACTTGCACTGTGGACTTTCTAAGTGATCTCAGTGATCTCAGTCCCTTTCTAAGTGATAATCAGTGATCTCAGTCCCTTGCTGTTTCTGTGAGTCTCACTTTATGGCCAGAATGTGGTCAGTGTGTGTATTCTTTCCTATATCCTTGAAAGAAAATGGTATTCTATAGGTGTTAAGTCCAGTGTTCCTTTATATACCTCAGTTAAATCAAGTTTGTTCATTGTGTTCAAATCTCTCCCCGTATTGGTTTTGTTCTCTCCTGAGAAAGGTGGCTCAAGTGTCTGGTGCGGGTGGGTTTGTCTGATTTTCCTCGGAGTTCTGTTGATTTTTGCTCTATATAACTCAAACCTATGCTTTTAGGTAAAAACAAATTTGGAAATACTGTATCTTTATGTTCTTTTGGATTTTATATCCTTGTAAAATGTTTCCCTTTATCTCTAACCATGCTTTTTGCCTTAACGTCTCCTTAGTCTGGTATCTTAATATCACACAGCTTTCTTATTTATGGTTCCTTTTTGCATAGGGTATAATTTTTTTCCATTTTTTTCGCTTCAGCCTTTTTCTGTCCCTGTATTGAAGGTTGTGTCTCCTGTAAGCAACATGTAGTTGAGTTTTACATATTTCTATTTTCAGTCTGACAGTTTGTGTCTTTTAATGGGAATGTTTAGTTTGCTTGCATTTAATGTAATTATTGATATATTTGGGTTTTACTCTCCTACTTTCTGATTTTTATTTGTCCTACCTGGTTTGTGTTCTTTGTCTCTCATTTTTTTGTCTGCGTTTGAATTATTTTTTTCTTACTTCATTTTTTTCTCTGTATTAGAGAGTATGTAGTAATAAGATGCATACCCTCTGTTATTTTAGTGGTTATTGTACTACTTCGACTTACCAAAGGAATAACGTAAATTTCTGAGTTTACCTCTGTCCAAGCAATGCAAAAATCTTTGGAATACTTTAATTCCAATTGCCCTCATTACTTTTATGCTCTTGCTATCACGCATTTGACTTCTGTATGTATTTCAAGCCCTGCGAGACACTTGTTATTTTCAAAGTCAGTATTTCTCCCAAATTTACCCTTCTTGTTGATGCTTATGTCCATATCTCTATGCTTCCATGTGGCTTATCCTCGTTTTGCCTGGAGAACACCCTGTAGTACTAGGTCTGCCAGTAATAATGGGTTCTCTCTTTTTGTTCTCACCTCAAACAGTCCTTCATTCACCTGATTCTTGCTCTGGGTATAAAATTCTCAGTTGGCAGTTATTTTCCTTGAGTGCTTTCAAGATATAGACACCATTCTGTTGTCCTCCGGCTTCCTCTTCCTGGTGAGAGCTTTGCCATCAGCTGAACTCTTGCTCTCGTGCAGGTCATTTCCACTTTTTCCTTGTTTGTGAAATTTTCCTCTTTGTCTGAGTGCTTAGCAGTTTCACTGGACTGTGCCTCTAGGGAATTTTCTTTGTATTTCTCTCTCTTGGTGTTTCTAAGACTTACTACATTTATAATACTCTACCAGCTTCAGAAAATTTTCAGACTTTATCTTTTAGGTATTGCTTTGGGCCCATTTTCTTCCTCTGGAATTCTGGCTTGGAGAGCGTTAACGCTCGGTCGTTCCCTCGGTCTCTCAGTGTCTCTGCTCTGCCAGCCTGTCACCCCCATGCTTCTTTCTGTGTATTTTCATCTGGCTGATTTTTCCAGCCACTCACTCTCCGTTCAGCTATGCGTAATCTGCTTGGAAAGCCACCCACTGAGGTTTTCAGTTCTAGAACATCCATCTTGTTCCTTTTTGTAGTTTCCAGTTTTCTGTCTAATTCTCAGAATTGTTTTTTAATCTCTCTTACTTTGCTCAGCATAATTACTATTTTAAAGTCTGTGTCTGATGACTGTATGAGCAGTATCTTCTGTTGGGCTTTTCCATCAGCTCTTATTTCCTTTGGTTTTGTGTTGTGGTTCCTTTGATTGGATACCAAACATTAGATATAAAGAATATGAAAAATAATTTGGGCCCTAGTAAATAGATGATATCTAGATAATATTTTCTGTAAATGGTATTTGTATCTGCTTTTGGCTTTTGACTACTTTCACTAGCAATCCTGAATTTCTTTAATTCAGTGTTGACATGATCTTAAATTGGATTTTGGTTCCTCCAATTGCTGGTCTGTTTGTAGTTTGTCTTTAAGTACATGGGTGCAGCCCTTCTGAGCTCTAACTCAGGAGTGTATGGGGGTTTCAAAGTCCCCTTCTTCGTGGGTTCTGGACTCTAGTTTTCTCCTCCAGCCCTGCACAGGTGTCAAAAGGTCCCCTCAGTGTTTTCACTGGTGCTTCCAGAATCAGAAGAGGCCATTGGGGGAAGCTTCCCTAAATTCTGGACCTCTCTGATTTTCTTTCTTCTTCTGGATGTTGTCCTCTTTTTAGCTCTTTACATGCTATCAAATAGATTTTTAAAAATAAAATTTTCATCTTTTTAAGTTATTACTGGGGAGGGTGATCATATCACTTCTGCCATTACTAGATGTGAAAGTATTCTATAGTTTTTTTTTATTTAAAAAAAAAAACACACACATTTTTCCCCCCGTGTTTGTGTATTCTGATACAGCAGTTAGGTTAATAGAGCCTTAAAAATACATTTAGTAATAGCTCTGCTTACTTGAGATTACTTTGAACAAGTGAACATTAGTTTTAGCAGGCAGAAGTTCTGGGCTCTCTCAGCGCTTGGTTACAGACACATTGCTAAAACATTCCATCAGACACCATTCCATTATAGACCTTTGAAATCCTGAGTCAGAACAAATGTATGCAGGTAATCATGTACTTCCTGTAGGTGTCATGGAAGACTAAACAGGAGGAACCTGTGGAGGGATTCAAGTCCCAGTGTGTAATAACTGGCTCTTTCGAATTTTAGTTACAGATTTGTTATGGGAAGTGTTCAGGTTTAAACTACTTTCTAACATCCATGCTGTGTCATGGGTCCCCCAAGGCCTTCCCCGTATCTGGAGGTGAGTCAGCAGAGAGTGGTAATCGTGGCTAACATTTATTACAGTGGTGTGATAAGGATGTGCAGCTGGATCCTAAAGGGGAAAGGCACAGGTGGGGGCGTACAGGAATCTGTGTTCAGGCTTTTTTATGCCGTGTCCTCATAACAGGGGACACAGAGCAGTTTCTGCCCAGGGAAACCCACTAGGAGACTCAGAGCCCAGGGCTTTTATTGGATGCCGTTCATGGAGGCACCCTTTCCTGAGATACCCCAAATTCCAGGCTCCCAGAAGGAAAGCAGGTACTCAGCCCAAACTGTATTGTTCATACAGACAGTGAGCCCCCCTTATCATGGAGGGCGAGTTTTCTGAACAGGCGAGTTCTCCAATGGGAGCCGAGGGCCGGCCCCGGGCAGCCAGTTCTTTCTAAGGAAACCTACCAGTGTCGCCGGCTCCCGTAACTCTTCACTGCACCCGCGCCTCTGGTGACTCACTGTGGGAGTTTTCTGTAAACACCGTAGGTAAATATCAAAGGTCTGTGTGGTAATTCTTGTTATGACAAGTAGTAAGATGTTTGGCATTAAACTTCGGCAGCTAAAACACCTGTGTGGTTGTAATGTCTTCATATGTTGCACACGGGCTTTTCCCGATGTGCCAGTGTCTGTTGTCCGTTTGAATCCACGTGTGGAAAGAACACGACAGCATTGGAACATTCAGTACATCTTCAGAGAATATGTAAAAAATTAAATTACAATGGGAAATAATCCATTACGAAAGGACACTTCAGATGGCTCCTTTTAAATTTCCAGTTGAACCACCCACGTGTTTTTTCACATTTTACTGGACTTGTTTTTCTCCTGGGAGCTTTCTGAGGAAAAGTACTTTGTCACCGAGAATTTTGACTAAGACAGCTGAAGTTTATTTGGCAATCAGAAATATAGAAAAAATAATTTCCGACTCCTGTTAGACTCAAACTGGAGAATCTTAGACGTTCTAGATTAGATTTCTGGCTTATAAATGTGGAAGCTGACCCAGAAAGTTTAAGTGACTGGCTGCAAAGCTGACTAGCTGGTTAATTGCATTTCATCGCTTTTTAGTCATAGAATATGCACTTGCAATTGCTATTGAAAAAAGCCAAGAGGCCGTGGATTCATTTTGAATTTCCTTAGTGACTTTGATGATCTTTTCATGCCTAATTTGGTCATTTACTCAACAAACTTAACAAGTATTTATTTAACCCCTGCAGTGGGTCACACTAGTTTTAAGTGCCGAGGATTGTTTTTTTTCCTCATTTGTATTCAGATTAAAGTCTGTCCCATTAAGGTCAGCCTGTAGCCGCCTGCTTTTTATGAGGTTCCTAGGCTACGAACATGTACTACATTGTCTCCTGGTCCCTCAAAATATGTTATCTCTTTTTTTCCTCTCCTTAAGGTAATACTGCATTGCATGATTGCGCAGAATCTGGGAGTTTGGACATCATGAAGATGCTTCTTATGTATTGTGCCAAGATGGAAAAGGATGGTTACGGGATGACTCCCCTTCTCTCAGCGAGTGTTACTGGTCACACAAATATTGTGGATTTTCTGACCCACCATGCACAGACCAGCAAGACAGAACGGATCAATGCTCTAGAGCTTCTGGGAGCTACATTTGTAGACAAAAAGAGAGATCTGCTTGGGGCCTTGAAGTACTGGAAAAAGGCAATGAACATGAGGTACAGTGACAGGACTAATATAATTAGCAAACCAGTACCACAGACACTAATAATGGCTTACGATTATGCCAAGGAGGTGAACAGTGCAGAAGAGCTGGAAGGCCTTATCGCTGACCCTGATGAGATGAGAATGCAGGCCCTATTAATTAGAGAACGTATTCTTGGTCCTTCTCATCCTGATACCTCTTATTATATTCGATACAGAGGCGCTGTCTATGCAGACTCTGGAAATTTCAAACGATGCATCAACCTCTGGAAGTATGCTTTGGATATGCAGCAGAACAATTTGGATCCTTTAAGCCCCATGACCGCCAGCAGCTTGTTATCTTTTGCAGAACTGTTCTCCTTTATGCTCCAGGATAGGGCTAAAGGCCTGCTGGGCACCACCGTTACGTTTGACGATCTTATGGGCATCCTGTGCAAAAGCGTCCTTGAAATAGAGCGAGCTATCAAACAAACTCAGTGTCCGGCTGACCCGTTACAGTTAAATAAGGCTCTTTCCATTATTTTGCACTTGATTTGCTTGTTAGAAAAAGTTCCTTGTACTCTAGAACAGGACCATTTCAAAAAGCAGACTATCTACAGGTTTCTTAAGCTGCATCCGAGGGGGAAGAACAACTTCAGCCCGCTTCACCTGGCCGTGGACAAGAACACCACGTGTGTCGGCCGGTACCCCGTGTGTAAATTCCCGTCCCTGCAAGTCACGGCCATACTGATCGAGTGTGGCGCCGACGTGAACGTCAGAGACTCCGACGACAACAGCCCCCTGCACGTCGCTGCTCTGAACAACCATCCCGACATCATGAATCTCCTTATCAAATCAGGTGCACATTTCGATGCCACAAACTTGCACAAGCAGACTGCCAGTGACTTGCTGGACGAGAAGGAGATCGCTAAAAATTTGATCCAGCCCATAAATCATACCACCCTGCAGTGTCTTGCTGCTCGTGTCATAGTGAATCATAGAATATGTTATAAGGGGCATATCCCAGAAAAGCTAGAGACCTTTGTTTCGCTGCACAGATGATAATCTGACTGTCGCGTCGCCCTCTTGAAAGCACGGGTCGCTGACAGTCGCCTCATACGTGAGCACTGTTGTGAGAACACCAGCATTCACTTAGCTTGATGTCCTCGTGCTGTCATTGGCTAAAGCATTAGAAGCGTCAACTTTCCAGGATTGGTTTCCCAGTATCTAATATCAATATACCATATAATATATTCTTTGCGAATTACTGAGAAATGTAATGTCCTATTCGAATTTCTAAAATTGTCTGCCAAAGGCTTATCTGTTCTGGTTCTGTTTGCTGTTGGGCGTTTGGGACAGAGGTCACCGTTTCTCAGTGGTGTCTTTATACTTTACTGGTTTGTGAATTTTATACAATTGAAGGTCTTTCTTTCTTTTTTTCCCCCCTGCTTCTTCCTTCTCTTGTCCAAGCTGCTTCCCTCTTTCCACTTGATTTACTTCCTCACCATTTCTGCTTACCGGTGTTTTCCCCCTTACGGGCCCATGCTAGGTTGTACACCCTTTATGGACCTGTTACCATTTGCAATTACCGTAAGTGCTTTATCTCCTCTATGCAGCGGCTTAAACTTGACTGTTGTATGTTAGCACATTTTTCTATGCAGCAGTTGGTCAACTTCAGCTCAAAACACTGTTACGTTTGTTACAAAGTTCATTTTTTTTGAAAGTAGTACTCTTTGTAGCATGACAATTTTTTAGAGCTACAGCTTAGCTCCCTGAGCTCAGGCTTTTCTGTTTGTTTGGTTTTTCTTCTTCTTCTTCTTCCGAGGTTTCTCTCTCTAATCCACTGAAATTATTGTGTGCTAAATTTGGGAAACAGATCTCTTCTAACTCATTAACCCAGTTGAAATTTAGGTCTGTCATTTTAATATATCATGCAGTAAAAGGAAGAATCTTTACAAAGTGACCCACCTTTCATGCTGCTATAGCGTTGTCCTGCTTGTGCTGATGATGTGATTAGGTGTTAGAGAATTTGCTTCAATTTAACCTCAGAGTTGATCACACAGCTTTAATGAGTCCCGTTGAACTATTCAGCGATCGATCACTTTTAGTTACAAAAAGAGCTACAGCATGTCAGGGGCATGATGCTTGCTGAGCCCGATCTGGGCATCTAGGATAATTAAGGTATTTTTGTATGCAATTTACTGCCATAGTATCCAAGGTCAGTAACAGTGTCCTTCCTTTCAAGGTAACTTTGCATGAATTACTTTGGTCTCAGTTATTCGGCACCCTAGTTAATAAACACAAAAGGTTGCAGTGCTTCCTGTCCCCTTACTGGAAGTTACCTTTGCTCTGCTTTTCTTTCTGTATGGTTTTTTGTTTTGTTTTGTTTTTGGTTTGGTTTGGTTTTTTTCTTCCACACAGCTTCGCTAATGCCACAGAAAGGGCTCTTTTAAGAAAAGATGAAGTGAAAAGTACTAAAAAAAAAGATTCAGGTAATTATCCTTCAGCACTTTATTGTTATTCAGAATACAATTTATGATGGCACATTTGCCCTGCAAATGTCTTAATGAAATTGTTCTGAATAAAAAGCTCCTTATTTGTTTGAGGAAAAAAAAAATTCAAGTGTACCTGTGAGTTGAATGAGCTGGATCCACTTGGGTTTTTGCTCGCATTTTATCCTGAGGGTTGATGTCATGGTATTTATGGAGTCATCACTGCAAAGAATCACCTTAGATTTATTTCATCTTTATTCAGTAAACAAAACAAAACAAAAACTCGTGATGAATAGTAGTAAATATAAAAAGCATTATAGACTTACTTTCTGGTTAAATAATTGAGGTTTAATTTCTTTTTTAAAAGATATTTTACTAGGTTGGGAATGGAATTTCACTGTCAAAAAGGGTGAATGGGAGATAACTGGTCATGGTTGCTCTCCAGCCTTTGAATGAAGAGGCTTTAAAACCCGTCTTTACCATGGGCAAATTTGGTGGAACGTTTGAGGTGCCACATAGATTAACCCGTTTGTGATTTAGACACACTTTCTAGAAATACCAGACATCAACATTTTGAAATCGTTTGCCTCTTAACCTTGTGGTACGTATGCATGAGCTTTTTTTTTTTTTTTTAAAAGGAAACTCTGTATGTGCAGTAAATCGACACTAGTAGATCTCAGTAATTTGGGGGTAAAAGATGAGCAACTGGATTTTTCAGTGATTTAATATTACCCCCCTCCTTTGTTGGGCGGGGAGAAGAGTTTGGTAAGGCACACCTCACACTACCTGACGGGTGAACCTAAATCCAACAACCCCAGGGCAGCTGAGGATTTCCTCCCGTGGCGTATCTTCCACCGCTAAAGATGGATCGCGTAAAACTGTTCGTCAGTCTTGAGAACTGAATTGCCTTATTTCAGTTAGGACACAATTCTCCTCTGTTAGCCATCTCCCCAAACGCTGTTAGGAGCTCTTGACAAATTGTTTGATAGCTCAGAATAGTCCATGATTTTATTTTGGAGGAGGTTGGTTAATAAACGTGACCTCAGACACTGTTAAGGCCTTTGTCAGAAAGTGTTCTCAAAATTGTTGACTGAATCAAGAAGATACGTTCATGTGTTACTTTTTTTTAACCACAAGTGAGTACTCTAATACTTAATGAGCTACTTGTAGGCTGGAGTTGGTAAGTTTTGATTATGTTTCTGTAAAAACGCCTTGTAAGGCCTGCTGAATTTTAGATGTTCCTCTATTGATCATTCCTGGAAAAGAAATGGTCATTTTACACAGATTAGATACCAGTCTACTTTATAAAGACAAGTGGATTCTAGATTTTAAAAAAGTCCTTTTTCTTACCCATAAACCTGACAGGGGCGTAAAAAACCCAAATCAGCAAAAAATAAACTTGGTGCCCATTCTGATTTTGAAGTTAAGTGATTGCTGACTTGTAAAGCGACTCCCTTAATGTGTAATATTTTAGAGGACCCCCCCCGCCGCATCTACTGTGACTTGGGAAGACTCTTTAAATTCTATATGAAAGGATATCCTATCACCAAGCTGAAAACTTAGGTTGACTTTTACAGGTAAAATGATCCTTGTAATTATCAGAATTGTGGGGGCCAGATGAGATAATAATACCATATTTTTGCATACTGCGACAGCAGTTGTTATTGCTTGGAATTTAACCATTTTAGAGTTAGATCCTGAAGAGACTAATTGGTTGTCATCCTTTTTTCATTTTTTTCTTTTTTTTTCCCCCCGCCTTCATATATATCACTAAACAACTAGTTTCTCCCTTTTGTCACTTCCCATTGTGTATTTTTCAGAAGTACTGTATTCAGATGCCAGCCAATAAATTGTCACATAATGGAAAATGATATGCCACAACATTCATTGTAAGGTTTAATAAAATTAAATTTGCACCAAATACAAGCGTATTTGTATTGACTCTTTTAAGATTTTATTTGAGAGAGCGGGGTGCAGGGGGGAGGGAAGGCTGGGGGCAGAGAGAGAGAGAGAGAATCTAAAGGAGATTCCCTGCTGAGCACGGAGCCCGACGTGGGACTCCATCCCACGACCCTGAGATCATGATCTGAGCCAAAACCAAGAGTCCGATGCTCAACCGACTGAGCCACCTGGGCACCCCTCGTATTAACTCTTCATACTTGGTTGATGATGTCTTAATGCTTTGATGGTGTGCTTCTGTTTCAAAAAATATCTACCTGGTAATTCACAGTCAGAACTGTTAGAGATAGCATTTATTGTTCATACTTCTATGTAAAAAATGGTTTTGTACAGTTTGTTCTCATTTCTTTTCCAGTGAAGACCACAGAAACTAAGATACCAAAAGACTTTTGTTTGTAGTTCAGTGCATGGGAGAGGGGCTGCTTTTAACTCTTACTCTTGTATTTTAACTGGTTTGGTTTTAGGTATCAGAAGTATGTCATAAATACATTACTGTGCAGGTAAATTTCATCAATTTATTTCCACCACTTTTAAATCGTAAAATTTGGGTAGTCCTTGTCTTTTTCTTATATGTAAGTTTACTAATACAAAAAGTTTTAATAGGTCCGGAAAATGCTCCGGCTGTCATTTCTAAACTCTAACCATAAATTGAAATCTCCAGCTGTATAGACTTTCCCTACTTGAATCATTAACCTCCTTTACCAGTAACAAGTACAGACTTTGTCATCTTTCTGACGGAACCCTTTTAAACCTTAGTCTTCCTTACCCTTGTTCTGTGGCGGTCCCCCTGACCACCACCAGTATTTAAGAGGAAATCTTCCAAATGTATAAGGATAAGAAAATTATATTTTTAAGGATTTGAACAAGAAAAAGTCTTATGTCCTAAGGATACTGTTTCTTCAAGATACTTTTTCATCCTTTTTTCCCATCTCTGTACTGTCAGAATGTTCTTTTTTTTTTTTTTCTTCTTCATCTCCTTTATTTTGCCTGTCCCCACTCTCCCCCACTCTGGCAACCACCAGTATGTTCTCTGCATTTTAGCATCTGTGTTTTGTTCAGATTTCACATAGAAGTGAAGTCATACGGTATTTGTCTTCCTCTGACTTACTTCACTTAGCACAATCCCCTCCAGAATGTTCTTTCTTAAGTAATTTGGGGATTGTGGGAGTTGAAAAATCATTGGTTCCTGGGTGCCACCGTGTTCCCTCACATTTTATTGTAAAGGTACTTTTTTTGTTTGTTTGTTTGTTTTTAAGATTTTATTTATTTATTCATGAGAGACAGAGAGAGAGAGAGAGAGAGAGAAGCAGGCTCCCAAGGAGCAGGGAGCCCGATGCGGGACTCGATCCCAGGACCCTGGGATCATGACCTGAGCCGAAGGCAGACGCTTAACCGTCTGAGCCACCCAGGCGCCCTGTAAAGGTACTTCTAAGTAAGATTTGCTCTCCTAAAATTAGCTCAGCTTAGTAGAATTATCACAGTTGTATTTTCCTAATCTAATATTTATGTCTGATTTCAAAAGTGAATACAGAGCCCTGCCTTAAAAAATTGAAAATGTAACCTGAAAGGATTTATTTAAGACACATTCATACTGAAGAAGGACCTGGGTGAGTTCTAGTCCCCCTAAAACATCTGGGGTGGTTATTAACCACTGTATACTTTGGTGTGAGTCAGGTGAGTGGAGTGGTTTAAAGTATTTGACATTATTGCCAAAAATTTTAAAATGGAAAAAAAAATGCGTCTGTTACAGAAAAATTATATGCAAAACTTCCCAGTAATCAGTCTGTTCTAATGTGAGGTCTCCTTGGTTATTTTAGATCTATGTGAGCCTTATCCCTTAACTTACTCTTTTCCTTTTCTGAAAGACCAAATATAACTTTGTTAATGGCAGGTTTCCCTTATTTACATAACAGATAACCAGGACTAATTGATCCTAGGAATGATATTTTTTAAATATCTTTTCATCCGGGCGCCTGGGTGGCTCAGTTGGTTAAGCGACTGCCTTCGGCTCAGGTCATGATCCTGGAGTCCCGGGATCGAGTCCCGCATCGGGCTACCTGCTTGGCAGGGAGTCTGCTTCTCCCTCTGACCCTCCTCCCTCTCATGCTCTCTGTCTCTCATTCTCTCTCTCTCTCAAATAAATAAATAAAATCTTTAAAAAAAATAAAAATAAAAAAATAAAAATCTTTTCATCCTTATAATTGAATGTCTTTGTAGATGATAATATCACTTGTGATGATACTTAGTTCTAAAACTTAGCAGGCACCGTGGGGGCACCTGGGTGGCTCAGTTGGTTAAGCGTCATCTTGGTTTGGGCTCAGGTCATGATCTCAGGGTTGTGCGATCAAGCCCCGTGTCCGGCTCTGTGCTGAGCGTGGAGCCTGCTTGAGATTCTCTCTCTCTGCCTCTGCCCCTCCCCCACACACTCGCCCTCTCTCTCAAATCTTTAAAAAAAAAAACAAAAAACTTAGCAGACACCTGACCCCTTGATTCTCTGTTTTTAAAAATGTGTTTATTTAATATATTCATTACAAGGGCTCAACTGGAGACTATTAAAAAACCAAAGAGAAAAATTACCCCACGGCTTGAAATAACAGAGTCCTATGCAGACCATCTAGGAGAAATAAAAAGACAACATAGGGAGTGGGGCTGGACAGCCAGGGTCAGGGCTCTTGCAGGGACGCCTGTTCTAAGGACGTTTCTTGCAGGTACTTCAGGGTTGTGGGTGTTCCCAGAATTTAGCAACCCGTGTTCACAAAGGGCTGCCGGTGTTGGCTTGGAGGCTCTGCTTGGGGAGCTGGATGGTCCTTAACTTACGCAGGGCAGGCCCCCTGACCTCCAGGATGTCCAGGCCTCCATGACCGTGGTGCTCCTGTGGTGGGGGTCGCAGGGCTTGGGGGCTTCCCCCATGGGCACGCTGTGAGAGCAGCCACTGGGGAACCCCAGGGAGAGCTGCTACCTCAGGTCTCCCCAGACTTTCCTGTGAATGCTCCCCACCCATTTGCAGAGATGGTCTGATGGAGGGAAGGCAGAAATTCCCTTGTTGCCGGACTTGGTGAGGCTCATCAGCTCTCGCCGAAGCCTCTGGTCCACAGAGCACCCCCCTGGGCCCTGTCCTTTATGGCCGGAGGCTGGGGCACGGTTCTGGGAGCAATCCTCACCTTGATTCTTTAATAGTACCTGTCATAACCAGTTCAGTGTTGAGTCGATAATATCAGATTTCTGCCGTACCAGGCACTACGCCAAATGATGATGCTTATATCCGCTCACTATCCAAGACTTTGGGAACTAAGCAAAAAGAAAACCACCCATCTTGCCTCCCAGTTATACACAGTTAATGCTAAGGTGTGTTCTCGATCTTTTGTTGTTCCGTTTTAAATCTTAAATTCGTTCAGGACAAGCAAATTCTTAAAATAGTGGGAGGTAGCTAAAATTCAGGAGATGCTGAAAATAGAATTAGGTCAAGAATGAATTTAAATGAGTGTGACCTGTTTATCCTGGAGTGTTAAGGGAAAATGAGGGATATTTCTCTCAGGGTCTTGATACATAGTCGAATTGTGAATATTGTTTATTTCACAGATGACGCATACAAATTAGTAAGAATTATAGGATATTTTTCTTTGAATACTCCAACAAAATGTTTTAAACTCTTGGAGTAATTTTGTATTTACAGAAAAGTGGCAAAGGTGGTATGCACTATTCCTATGCATACCCATCATGTAGCTTCCCCTAATATTAACATCCGAGGTACACGTACCTGTTTACGAAAACCTAGTTTGTCAACACTAAGAAATTAGCATTGGTACAATACAGTTAGCCAAACCTACGGACTTAATTTGTATTTCAGTTTTTCCTAAAGTGGAAAAACTTCTTTCTGTCCCTGGACCCAATCTAAGATACCACCTTGCATTTGGTCATCATGTCTCCTTTGTCCATAACAGTCTCTCAACCTTTGTTTCCCTAGACCTTGACATGATTCAAGAGTCCTGGTCAGATATTTTGTAGAAAGTGCTTCAATGTGGATCTATCTGATATTTTCTCATGTTTTCTTGGGATTGTGATTTTCTAGGGAAGAATAACCACAGAGGTAATCTACCATTCTCATTACATCTCCCGGGGGTATACGAGGCTGACGTGATGTAGCACTGGTGATATTAACCTTGAACATTTGGTTATGATGGTGTCTGGCAGGTTTCTTTCTCTGTTGGAGACTTACCATTTTTCCATTCCATATGCTATTTTTTCGGAAGTGAGTCCGTAAGCTCAAGTCTTGCTCAAGGAGAAGGGGAATT